CTCGCTCGTTTCAAACAAATTACAGATCACCTCCACGATCATCTCTTCATATACTCGGATGGATCTAAGAGCAGTACCGGAGTGGGAGCATCAATAGTAGTTAACAGTGTTTGCCACATGTGGAGCCTGGATCCGATTTCAAGTATTTTCACTGCAGAATGTTATGCCATCTGGCAGGCACTTCTATTCTTTGCATTGTCATCTAGCTTAGCGTGTTCGATAGTATCAGACTCTCTGAGTGTGATCAGCTCCATAGGAAATAACTTCACCAAGGATGAAAGAATAAGTCGAATCTTGAACTTAACCAGCTCACTAGAAAATGACCATAAAAAAGTCCGTTTCATATGGGTACCTAGTCATGTGAATATTATCGGCAATGAATTGGCTGATGCAGCGGCAAAGCAAGCAGCCACCATGCCACCGGATGAAGGCATTCCTACTCCGCTATCTGACTATGTAAAACACTTAAAAGACACTACAAAACAAGCATGGCAGCACAAATGGGACCTATATGACGGACACATGAGATCCGTCCAGACAAGTATCGAAAAATGGACTTATCCGAAGCAACTGAATCGTCGGCAGCAGACAGTCTTATGCCGACTACGAATTGGCCATTGTAAGTTGACCCATGCGTACCTGTTGGCCGGCGATCACAGACCACAATGTCTAGCATGTCAAACAGACCTCACTGTTCAACACATTCTGGTGGAATGTCGACTCTACAGTGATCTCCGCAGGGAACTACAGATGTCTTCCAATATACAAACCCTGCTCAAAACGGAATGGCCAAAAGTTATGGATTTCCTGCTGCGCTCGGATACATACACCAAGATATAGATACTCCTATTTCGTTACGCCTCCAGCCACTTCCACATCAACATTTTACGACGCATTCTCACCTACATCCCATACCTATCTGGTCTTACCTTATTATCCTTGTATCATACTGGACAGCTCTGAAAAATAAAATGGTATACACGTGGATGTCACATCATTAGATAACTGAAGAGGCAGCTTAGCTATTAAAGATTCTCAGTCACATGCGGAGTAAATATTGAACTTGTCTGTATACTATACTTACTGTTATTTATACCATATATGTTTGTCCTGTGTCTTTCTATTTCCATCTCAGATCTACCCCTGAGATGTTAGGTTTGGAAAAAAAAAAATGACCTAATGAGGCAGGAGGGAAGCGGCTAATGACCTAGAAGTCGATGCCGCTGTGGGTTAAAAAAAAAAAAAAAAAAAAAAATATAATAATAAATAATAATAATTAATAATAATAATAATAATGTAATATAATATATAATTATATTATAATATAATAATTACATAATAATAATACTAATAATATAATAATAATTATAATTATAATATTACAATAATTATAATAATAATTATATAATGATAATAATAATTACAATTATTATAATAATTAATAATAATAATAATTACATAATAATACCATACCATACCATACCATACCATTTATTGACCACTTATACATATAGATACATGTTTGAGGTCACAAACTAGATAAAGTTTATACAGTCTGTCTTCTTGCTCTACACACGATCACTGATCACTAGGATCACATGCACTTAAATATTCACTTACAGTATAAAACAGTTTTTAACAAATAGTTTTTGACGAACCTAGAGAACTGTTTGTTAGACATCTTCTCAATATTGGACCGCTTATGATATCTAACAAAGTTATTGTAAAGCGACACATTAATCTTAATAATAATAATAATAATTACAATAATTACAATAATTATAATAATTAATAATAATTAACCGCTTGTTGGAAGTAGTAGACCCCGAAGTTGGCAGTTGCCTATACGTAGACGATATGACCATATTCTATTCGTCCGTCGATCTAGAACACTTGAAAGACACACTTCAAAGGGCTATTGACCAGATTGCTACCTCTGCTGAAAACATGGGCTTTAAATTTTCCACCTCTAAAACAGCTTGTATCCACTTTTGTCGACTACGAAGGTCACACGACGATCCGATATTGACACTGAAAGAGACCCCAATACGATACTGCGATAGTATTAGAATACTTGGGCTAATTTTCGACAAAAAACTATACTGGAAGGAACACATACAGGACCTAGCTACCAGATGCAAAAGAGCCACAAATATTATAAGATGCTTATCGAATATATCATGGGGAGCAGACAGAGAAGTACTTTTAACCCTCTACAAAACATTGGTTCTATCTAAAATGGAATACGGAATGTCTTTGTTCGCCGCAGCAAGGAAGTCACACATCAGAATCTTAGAAAAGGTCCATAACCAGGGAATCCGACTATGCATAGGAGCTTTCAGGACAAGCCCCGTAACATCTATATATTGCGATGCTGGTATTCCTCCTTTATCATACAAATACAAGTTTCAACACTAAATTATGCAATCCATGTGTGGGCACAACCAAATCACCTGAATCACCGCATTATCTTCAATGACGAAGTAAACTCGCTTTATCATAATCGACCAACTATTACTAGGCCAATTGGAGTAAGAATACAAGAACAACTCAGGACCCTTGGGTATTCCCTTCCAAATGTATACCCTATTGGCTTCTCCAGAACACCACCCTGGTGTATTTCCCAACCAAAAGTACTTCTTGAATGCTCCTCAAATAAGAAAAGCGAAACTAACCCTTCTGTCTTTGTCCAATCCTTCCTAAACGTAATTAATACCTACGACTACCACTCCGCTATCTATACAGATGGCTCGAAAACTCAAAATAGTGTAGGAAGTGCATTTACAGACGGTGAGAATGGCCGAAGCTTCTTCCTAAACCCGATGTCATCCGTTTATCATGCAGAACTTTACGCAATCATAAAAGCGTTGCAGTACATAGAAAATAAAGAAGATGGTACCTACCTTGTATGCTCTGATTCCAAGAGCTCTTTAGAAGCAATTCAAAAACCCTACAGTACTGATCCTATGATCCAAATGGTGCTAGACTTACATCACGGTCTCAAACTAAGGAGAAAGGACATCATCTTCGTATGGACACCAGGACACGTGGGAATTCGTGGCAACGAACTTGCGGACCAAATGGCGCGGAATCCCCAAGTGGCAGCTTCACTAGAAGACCGCACTGTCCACCCAAGTGATCTCAAAGCACACCTGAAAAATAAAATACTGGATGAATGGCAACGCACCTGGAGCCAAGGAAATGATAAATTGAAAGTACACAAACAACACATCAACAAGTGGTACTTACCCTCCTCGTTATCAAGACGGGAACAAGTTGTCCTAACGCGTTTGCGAATAGGACATACAAATCTCACACACCTCCATCTTATCGTAGCGAATCCCCCGCCTCGATGCAGAACATGCAACAACCAACTATCCATAGAACACGTTCTGCTCGAATGTCCTTCCTATTATCAGGCTCGCCAATGCTATCGTATACCAAACACAATACCCCAGTGCTTCAAAGATGAGGCCCACATCCTGCGAGTCTTAGATTACCTGAAAGATATAAATATATTTAAAAAAATTTGAAAATTGTAATTCCAAGTGAAGAACGAACCTTATTTTATAACGAATTGACCCAACACATAGGAAACCTATGATCCGGGATGCCCTGGAACAAAACAATATGGATCAGTATCTATACTACATGTTGTAGGAAAGTACTTACTTACCTGTGTATCTTGCCTGAATACGAATGTGTGTACACGAATGTACAAAACAGCTGCTGAGGAATATCTGAAAGATGGAAAGGAACATACATATTACGTACACAAATAAATCAAATATGCTATTGAGACTTTCCCTGAAACGAAAAGAAGCACCCAGATCTACCCCTGGGTGAGAATTAATGACCTATATGGGAGGAGGGATACGGCAAATGACCTCAGCAGTCGACGCCGTGGGATTAATAAAAAAAAAATAAAATAAAATACAAAATATTATAAATAATAATAATAATAATAATTATAATAATAATAATCAAAATAATAATAATTTATAATAATAATAATAATTATAATAATAATAATTACAATAATTATAATAATAATAATAATAATAATAATAATAATTATAGTATAATAATAATAATAATAATAACAGATAGTGTGAGAAGTAACTCGAATGACCCCATCCAACAGCTTCCTGGGGTCGAAGATGGCAATCATGTTGCTGGAAGCCAGCCCCAGCCCATAATGCCAGACAATAGGAGGAGAAAAAGAACCACGTGGACCACTGAAATGAACAGATTTGTGGTTCGCTCCTACTACAGAATAACTAAACTAGAAACATCTACAGAGCCCTATGGTACTGAACTACACAGACAAGTTATCATGAACTTCCCTCACCTGCAAGGCAAAACTGTGCAAAACGTACTAGACCAGCGCCGATCCGTATTCATGAACAACAGATTGCCGGCAGAGGAGATAAACAAAATAAGAGAAGAGATATC